CCACCAGGGTACGTGGTTAAGTGTATTGGGCATCTGCCCCTCCTTAGGGGCTCTGTGAGAGAGAAGAAAGGCAGAGCTTCCCCTAAAGACAGGACCAGGTTGTGCAGGGAAGACTAGGGCAGGCAGTCGGGATAAATAACTGTTTTTTCTCTACTCATTCCCTGTAGAATGGCACCGAGGGTTGGTAGAGGTTGGAGAGAGAGTGGAAAAATGAAGGATGAAGAAAGAAGAGTGGGCTGTAATAGGAGTGAAAGGGGAAAAATGGGGAGAACAGGGAAGGAGATTGAAGCAGTGCTTGGAAGAGCAGGGAGGCACCATGGAGTCAACAGCTACTTGGAAGTGAGATTTGGAGGACAGGAATTAAAAAAGGGCAGGGGGGAATCCTGGGTGCCGCACCGGGCTGAGCCCCTGTGGGGAGGCCTGTGCCCATGGGAATCGTCTCCATCTCCTCCTGTGCAGGAGGGAGGATTTGGAGGAGAAATGGAATCTTCAAGTAAACTGGAGGATTTATCACCATTTGTGCGCTGCCTGCTCCCTGCACCAGCACTGCTCCAATAAGACTGAGCGCGCTTGCCTCAGATCTTGACTTTCCTTATATCCCGCGTTTGTTGTGGCTGTAATTTATGTGGGGATGAAAAATTAGACAATTTGTCTCCTGGCAGGAAATGGAATTAAAACCAAAAGAATAAAGAAAAGAAGAATAGCTCCTTCTTGTGCGCTCGAAGCAGCACGGAAGGGCAGTGCAGGGCCCACAGCGGCTCTGGACTGCAGGGCAGGGGTTTCGTGTGGGCTCCTCTGCTCCCTGAGCCTCCCCTGAGCGGCGGCTCCAGGCGGCGGCTCGGCCTCCCAAGATGCTGTGCTGCTCTACGTGTGCTCTGCAGCGATGTGTCCTTGTAGAGCACATCAGGGCAAGGGCTTCTGCAGCACCGCTGCTGCCATCAGTTATTTGTGGTATTTCAGGCTCATGGAAGCGACTGGAAAGTGCCGGCATCTTCTGGCAACTGGGAAATCTCCGTGGACAAGGCTCCCACAGGCTGCACCAACGGAGAGACATTACATGAGTTAACTGGTGTTTTAGCAGCTCTGAGGTTTGCTTCTGCGCCTTGCAAACTGCCGCGCTGAAATTTGCCCTAGGACTCTACTGGCTCGCTTGCCTTCTCTCCTCCTTTCTCCGCTCCGTGGATGGCCTTTGCACTCGGGGCGCTGTGAGCGGCTGGCGCGCGCGCCTTGGCAGCAGGGAGCTGCGTGAGACCGAGCTGCTCCCTTCCGTGGGCTCCAGCTTCCCGAGGCGGGAGCGATGCCTCGGTACGGGACGGCGCGCGCGCTTACATTGCAGCTGCTATCAGTAGCTTCATGGTGAATAAAAAGGAGTTTGGGGGGCCTAACAGGAGCCTTTTGTGAATTTTGAATTCTTACTCTTTCACTTTTGCTGGTATCTAAGCCAGAAACCCAAAGGAAAGCCAGGAATATATTTCTCTTGTAGCTTCAAAGGGTTCTTGCAGCTTTGGTTGTTTTGAAAGGCAGCCTTGGAAGGATCTGCATGTGCTGTATCCTGCAGCTTGATTTCAGCGACGTGCTGGCACTCCGCAAGGTGGAAATCAGAGCCGCGTTGCTACGTATTCCTCAAATGTATTATTTAGTTAAGGAGAGTCAGCTCAGATTCACAAAAGAGAGATCATGCCTGAAAATATCTGACAGTTTTTAAGCAAGTAACAAGCTGCAATGGCGAGGAGAAAGAAAGGAGAAAGGAAGCCAGGGTTTCTCTGCGCCCTGGAGCCTCCTTCCCTGACTTTTCAGCCCCTCTGCACGCAAGTGCCCACAGAAGCTGCTACCTCAGCCTGAGCCTCCCAAACTGCTCGGGCAACCACGGAGAGTGCCCGTGGCAGAGCCCCGTGCTGCGCTGCGGGTGCTCTTCAGGAGAGGTTTATTTCCTTCTCTCCTGCTTTCTCCTCCTCAAGCAGAAAGCCAGAAAAGGCAGAATGCAAAATAAGCCAGGTTCTTCCTCAGCTGCCTGGTGAAAGAGGTGTTTCAGGTGCTGAGCAGGGGAAGCGCGGTGCCTGCAGAGCATCCTTCTCCGCTCAGCTGCTCCTCGCCGGCTGCATCCCTGGTTGCTGTTGTAAAGTGCGAGACAACAGGAATAAAACAAAAAGTTCCTTGTTCCAAGGCTATTTTTACCTGAGCGGTGCGTTTGTTCGATGCTTATTCCTCACAATCTACAGCACCTGATCATATTAGATGCTATTTTAAGCATTGCATAAGATGTTCAGGCCGGCTTTGCTGGAAGGAAGCAAGCAGCCCCCAGGTGCTTGGTTAAAGGCTCGTTGGCTTTTGGCAGTGGTTTGGCCAAAGGATCTCGGGCCACTTCCTCCAACCTGGCTTGGGGGCCAAACCTGCATGTGACCTTGAGCATCTGTTAAAAGCTGTTGATTTCTTCATTCTTGTCTGCAGGGTGCAGAATGCACGTGCTACCTAGCACTGGTTTGCTAATTTAAGCATTTCCAGTACCTTGGTTGATTGACATACTTAATGTTCGGATTTTCATGTTGTGTTCCTGCTTCGCTGTATTGGGCTGATGCTTGAAGCTGTTATGAGCTGGGGAAAGCAGGGTTAAATCTATGGTAGAACTAAGTGTTCTCCGTATTCCAGCATTTAGCTGGATTAGGCCCTTCATCACTGTCTCCTCCTGAGCTTTTTGTCTTGTCAGAAATGTGTGAAATGCTTTTACAAAAGCTTTACAGGAATATGAAAAGACATACGGGAGAGCAGCCAGGACAAATTTTATAATTAAGATTGTCTCTCATTTGCAATAACTTATTACCAAGCTATTTGCCAAGGACTGTTTCAGTAGATTGGGTCCCTGGCTTGCCTGGGCAGAGTGGAGGTGGTTCAGACGCTCGTGAGGCTCTGCCCTGCTCCAGGGCACAGGACAGAGCGCAGGGATCAGCGCGACGCGGAGCCGAGGAGCAGGAGGGCAGCGCCGGAGACCCTGGTGCTGCAGCCTGGGAGCCCTGGCCAGGAGAGGCTCCTCGGAGCAGAGCTGGAGCCTGGTGCTGGTAGCGCTCCGGCTCATCCCCCTGTCCCTCCTGAAGGCCTTTTCACTGCCGTGCGGGCTGCACCACCCCGGGTCTCCTGCAGGCTGGCGCTGGGCACCAGCTGCTTCCATCTCCTCCTCTTCTCCTCCTCCTCTTCCTCGCTGCTACAGTGAGTTAGGGGGTGGGGAAATCCATCAGTGCAGACAGATGCTGTTGGTGAAGCTCATGAGGCTGCTTGGATCCACCATGAGGAGGAGCAGCACCTTTGTTGGCAGAAAGCGTGACAGATCTGTGGGAAGCCACCTAGATGGCCCGTGTGTCCTGAGCAGCAGGAACTTTCCACCAGTCCTCAGGCCCTACTGGGGTGGTTGGTCTTGCTGGTTTCTCCTGACTGCCCCTTTGCTAGAGGTCACTCTGTCCTGGTGCTGAGGGATCAGCACCAAGGTGCAAAACTCGAAAAGAAACTGAACTCAAATCTCAAAACTGGTCAGATATTGATCCTGAGTGCTGGGTCCAGCGGTTTGATGTCGGGCAGTGGAGAACGAGACCATTTTTCATCCTTCCCTTTCCACCCTCCCCCCCCTCCCCGCACCTTTTCTTTTCTTTAATGCCTTCATCCCCTTCCAACCCCTTCTCCAGCACCCGTCCCTCCTCATCCGTGGCACATCTCCTTGCAAAACCCCAGGGGATTTCTGAGGCTGCCTTTGGCATTTCAACTCCCAGGGAGTTACCATTCCCAAGCCCCTCGTCCTGTTCCCGTATGCCTTGTTCTGAAGCAAGGGGGGCCAGGATTGCCTGGCAGTGGCAGAACGGGGCCTCCAAAGGCAACAGGTGACTGAGCTGTGCAGGGAGCACCGTGGCTGCAGTCCCTGCTCGTCCCTAAAATCCCGCAGTGCTTCCCAGTTTGCCCTGTGCTTTTCACTGGTGTGAATGAGTAAGCACAAGGCTCCGGTGAGCCACATCCGTAGCAAGAACAGAAGCAGCAGGTAGAAGAATAAAGGGAGAGAGCAAATCTCCCTCCTAACGGGTAATGCAGAAAGCGCTAAGCCCCTCGAGACCTCCTTTTTGGTGCGTACCGTCCGGAAAACCTGTTTCGGATCGGGATCGGCGCAGCAGCCAAGCGCAGGGCGTGCTCGCACGCGCTTGGCAGCGGCACAAAAGAAACCCGTTGATGATATTCATAGGATTAAAGGCCCCGTTCCCGGGGACGCTCCTGGTTGGATGCAATTAAAATGCCTGTCAGGCGTTCGATAGCAGCAGCCCCTCGCGGAGCCGCCGGCAGCGGCGAGGTGCAGCATCCTATTGTAAGTGGGTGATGGCGGAGCTGGCTGGTTTGTCATCGTTCTGGAAAATTCGGTGGCCAGTGAACTCCCTCTTCCTCTCCCACTCACCCTCTTTTCCTTTTCACCGCTGCGGGGACGACTTCTAATTTGCAGTTTTCCTGCCATACCCATGGTGGCTCCGAGCCGGTGGCTCGCCGGCTGCGGCTGCCTGGGGATCGGCAGCGCGCCCGCGGAGCGCGGCGCTCCGGCGCAATGAGGACGCGGCGCTTCCCCAAGGATAGGCTTTTGTGCTATGGCAGCGCGTGAGCTGGTAATGATTTTCTTTTAAAAATGTCAGCTTTATTTGATTTCTGGACGTTTGAGGGAGTACCACCTTAATGCTCTAGCTTTGGGGGTTTGAGCTGCTGTAGATTAAATTTTGTAGGGCTGTGCATTGGATGAATTAAAATGTACTAGTAATATACTTCTGTATAATGTAAATATATATTTTTTGTGCTGCATACATAATATATGTGCACGCGCCTTCATATATGCATATATTCACATATGTATATTTACACATATGCATCGATGCCTTTGTATAAGGTGAGGAAAATAAACTTTTCTCATAGCTGAAAACTATTTTTTATCAAAAATTAAAGTATTTTCTTTTTTTTTTCTTCCCCATCTTTTGTTTCTATTAACAGATTCTTCAGCAGACAGTCTTGGACGTGACGCACTGCCTGGAATCTGCTTGGTCACAGGTAGGACACCTCTATATTTGAATGTGCTTTTAGAGAAGGTGGAATTGCAGCTGGAAAATCCTGGTAGAAGGTGTGTGGGGGGGTTGCTTTTGTTTTTAATTATAGGTATTGCTCTTCATCCTGTCAGTTTGTGTGGTGCTGCAGCTTTGTATAGGTGTTCAAACAGTCTCTGTGAAGTTATTTTTGCCATGTATGCATAAGATGCAGCTACATAATTAGTCCTTTCAGCCAAGGGGGAAACACAAACCTCAGTACCTACCTACATCTCGATTTAACGGACCGAGGGTACAAAACCATCCCCATCTGTATCAGATGTTGGTTTTGTTTTAGCCTCAGCGAGCTCTTTGCGGGCTAGCAAGAGCAGGGTTCGCCTGCCCGCCTTGCTCAGGGCAGGTACGATGCACCCCAGCGCGGAGCAGAGCGCAGAGTGCTGCTCTCAGGCTGTGTTGCTTTCACAGAGGAGGGAAACTTCTTTTAACCCGTTCCCTGCTGCCAGAAGCCGGTGGGTGTCTTGGCTTGGCATTTCTGTGCACAGCCCTTCCCTGCCTTGGAGTGCAGGGCACTGCTGCAAGAGCATCCATCAGATTTTTTTTTTTTTTTTTGACATCTCACTGGCATTTCGGAAATTATTTCTGTGTGTCAGCATGAAGCAAAAAGGCTGTTTGTCTAAATGACATTGCTAGTTCCAAGAGAGGTTTATTTTCCTCTACCCGATGTCGTCTGGCTTTGGTTGCTTTAACCCTTTGAGGCTATAGGTGCAGTGAATATGGTTTAGGCAGATGAAGGGAAAATGTGGAATAAAACCTAGCTGAATCAGACTCCGTAGGCAGTTTTCTTTGGATTGGACTTTCAGATGTGTCCAAGTGATTAAGGAAGGCAAATCTCATTGATTGACAGTGGGGGCTGCCAAAGACAAAACAAAAAAAACCCACCACAGCATTTAGGCAGGATTGAAAATCTCCTTCTGTTTTGGTAGGAAGGTGAAGATACATCCATCGCCTGTTAACTGCTCGGGTGCCAGTTCTCTGCCAGTGCCTCCCAAACCCAATGTGGTCACGTGCCAGGTGTCACTGCCCATGCTGCATAGCTCGGTCCGATGACTGAAAGGTAACACGTTTATAGATTCAGTCTGATGACTGAAAGGTAACACGTTTATAGAGCAGCAGTCAACATTTACATGTGTTTTTAGTGTGGAGTTTCAGGTTGCTTTTTGAAAAGGAGAATAGAAACAGTAAGGAATTCTTCAGGAAAGGCAGATCTTGTTTTATTCATAGCCTAGATAAACCAGGAATACTGGTGTCTCCGTGCAGTCTCTGAAGCGCCTGGTCTGGTTCCCTGGACAAGCAGGAGCCCTGGGCCAGAAGAACTTCAGCATTGCCAAGAATTAGGGTCTCTGCAGCATCAGTTTCATGGCAATAAATTGATAAGCTGATTGAGAGGTGCCCTTTGCAGGGAAAAGCAGGAGTATGTTTTGTGTTTTTTCAAGTATTCTCTCTCCTATTTTTCTTGCATGTAATTCTATTCCTCATTTACCTGTTTTACACATCCTTCTCTTCCCGAGGCCCTTACATTCTCTCTTTGGCAGAAGGCTTCTTGGCTTCTGGATTTCCCTGGCTACATAAAATTCTTCAAAAGAATCCTTTCATTGTTAGTTTTTATAACCTGCATTTAATACCATTTCCTCCTGGTATCAATTTTCACTAGACTCGTAAAGATAGAAAGGCATGAAGTAAATGGTGTATAAAATGCCTTAACTCTTGAAAAAATGCATTCAACACTCTTTTTTAGCTGAGAGCAAGAAGTGCTTTTTCTTTCCTCTACTTTTAATTTCACTTCCATTATCCCAGGGCAGCAAGCCAGGCTGCAGTCTCATTCTGATTTCATTAATGTTTTGCTAAGCTCATCCCTCAAGGACTAACGCTGCTGGCCGCTCTGGATGTCACATCCAAGGCTTTGCTGCAGTCCTGGAGAACAGGGAGACGGCTCTTGCGGACAGCCCTGATGACATTGCTTGCAGACAAGCAGAATTGCCCAGTTGTCCACAATATTAGTGGATAATGAGTCAAAATGTTTGGTAATGCAGTCTCCTTGGATTAATGTTTTTCATCTCCTTTCTGTTTCTTACGTCCTGTCGCAGCATCTTGTCAGACCTCTAGAGTCTCCTAAAAACAAACAAGAAATGGTATCAAACCTTAGTTAATAAATCAGATTTGCAGAGGGGACGCAGCTTTTTGATGTGAACCTTGCATGTAGGTTTCTTATACCTCTAACTTATCAGCCATCTTAACCTTCTGCCTTGGTCTGGGTTTTTAAGGTTCGTGTTAGATATGGTGCTTTCTGGCTACAAAGGACAAAATGAGATGTTATGCAGGCAAAAATGGAAATCATTCCAAGTGATACTATTTTCTTGAAGCAGAGATAGGGGGCACTTACTCTGTAAGAAAAAAATTTATCCTAGATTGACAGGATTTTAAATCCTGTGGCTGCAGTGGTAGAATAAGCTCTTTTGAAGTACCAAAAATAAAAACATCTTTTGTTCACTGATAGCAAAAGGCAGCAGAAGCCAGAGCTCATAGCTGCAATGAGATGTGTTGGATTATAGTTTGTGGGCTTTAGGGCACGCATCCACAGTGATGGGATGTTTGGCAGCCTCTTCATTCAAACAAATGACCCCATGCCCAAATGTGCTGACGGCCTCAAAAGAAGCCGAGCGTCAGCTCGGCCCTGGGGCTCTTTGGGCAATGGTGGCAGTAGGAGCTCGTTCAGTCCCAGCATCCAGAATCTGTCCCACAATTCTTGGCCTGTCTTCTGTGTTTGATGACAGATTCTCAATGAACATTTTCCTGCAGTTTTAGTCATAGAAAGGTTCTTCCCCAGGCAGATTTTTCAGTGGCAAATGAGGTTTCAGCTGAGGTCCTGAAGAGGGGTCATTTGCAGGGTCAATATCTTCAAAATTTCCACATGGGACTCATGAGACGTTCTCTGCTGCTTTGCTGAGCAGGTTGAAATTGGCCATTGGATTAAACAGTTACTGGCTGGGGAGAACATAATCTGTGTGAGGCTTGTGAGGAACCGTGGAGTGACTGGGTAGTGGTTTCATCCTTAGTAATGGGAGTTGGGTTCCTATGGGTTTCATCCCATCTTTCATGCCTCTTCTCTCCTTCCGCATCTTCCAGTACCCGTGCAGCAGAGTGCCCAGGTCTTCTCTGGTCCCTCGCTCTGTGCTGGGCAGTGGCTCATGCTGGAGCTGCTCCGGTCTCAGGGCAGCTCTTTGGCCCAGGCCAGCGGAAGATCAGAAACAGCAAAGAAGTGGTGAGCTCATGCTAGCATTTCCCTGCTTTGGGAGAGAGGGAAACTCCATTCTGCTTTGTTTCCCATCGCTATGAAGAAAATGTCTGTCTGTCCTTCACTCTTTGTCAAGCTATATTTAAATATCAAGAATTAGAGGCAGCAAAGCAGCAGGACTACAGTTGCTATGCTGCCAGTGAAAAACAGGAATGCAGTATATTCCTCAGTAGGGATATTTCGTCAATGTGGTAAATTATTGAGGCCTTAGTTGAATGACACATATGAAGTTTAGTCATGGTACTAAGTGCAGTGGTTTTTGCTTTGTGGTGACTCTGGTGTTAGTGTAGGCATAGTAATGATAAAAAGGTTAGTATGTATTTAGTAATATATAAACTTAATGCTCCCTTTCCCCCCATTAACTTTGTCTTGCTGTGAATGTCCTTGCTGCCTACAGCTGTGTTCTTGCATGCTTGAAGATTACTTTTAATGTGAGGGGGAACGGACGGCAATCCGTTGACCCGTCCCATGTATTGAAAACCCGGCCGGCCCCCAATGGGGGCCCGGCTGTGCCGGGAGAGCCCCGCAGGCTGCGTGCGAGGACCTCACTGCCCGTGAGGCCTCCTGATGGCTCCGCACTGCTGCTGTCACGGAGCTTGCGAGAAATCGTGGGCGACTAATGCATTGTGTGACCGTCAATGCTCAATCGTGGCAGCTATTTACATCTGTGCCCTAAGCTGTTATGGTGTGGGTGATAAGGTACTTTTTTCAGGGGGTGCTGTTAGTGAATTGTGTTCTTTTTTTATTATTATTTTTAATGTATATTGTTGCTCTTAAAAATGCAAATGTGCTAAAAGAAAATGAGCGTTCCTTAAGAAAGTGTCTTTCCTTAGCATTTCCATCATCAAGAGATTCATGAGCGCTAAAGACAGGAATAGAGAGCAGTGGAAGAGAGAGCACAGAGCTGTATATTTAAGCAGCAATATAACCCTCGGTGTCAGGCAGTTGCCTGGATGTCAAGAGTGTAACCGAGAGGAGCAGCGAGTGCTCATGGCGGTGCCCATGTCCTGCAGCATGGAGCGACACACAGGCCACTCTGTCTTACATCCTCTGTGAGCACGAAGAGGAATGAGCACGGTAGGGACAGACCCGGTAATATGTAATAATTTAGAGCAGAAGTACCTGCTTTAGGATTTGCACGTTCCCCTGAATTCCAGCCGTTGAGCTGGTGTCGCTTTGAGGGCAGATTTACATCGGTTGGCAGCGCTCCCCAGAGCCGCTTAAGGCACTTGTGCTGCTTCAGCGTTTTGTTCGGCCGTCGAGGCCTCCATATTGACTCAATGCAGTAAAACCCAAATCTGTGGTGATTCAAGATGGCCGCTATCTGTAAAAGCCAAATCTGTGGTGATTCAAGATGGCTGCGACCTGTAAAAGCCAAATCTGTGGTGATTCAAGATGGCCGCGACCTGTAAAAGCCAAATCTGTGGTGATTCAAGATGGCTGCGACCTGTAAAAGCCAAATCTGTGGTGATTCAAGATGGCCGCTATCTGTAAAAGCCAAATCTGTGGTGATTCAAGATGGCTGCGACCTGTACTGCTAACTTGTGAGGGCAGGGAGGGGAGGTCCCGCTCCCAGGCCGAGGCCGCCGCGCTTGGGCTGCCCCCGCTTCGGAGCGGTGCCACGAAACACATCCGCGGCACAACCCAG